GGAGGGGGGGGAGAGGGATGGAGAGGCAGATTGATTGTTGAGTATGACTAGATCAAAGAAACCAAGCAGGAGAAAGATGGAAAAAATATAAAGAGAGGGGAAAGCAAATCCAAGGGAACTTACCAAGATTTAAAACCGGCTGCCCCCAGGCCATTGCAAAGCCCAGCGAGTAACAATCACAGCCATTGTGTGTAGCAGCTCCCAAAGTGCTGAGCCAGGAGGGTAGGCAAAGAATAAGCAAAACCAAGCCCTGCCCTCTAGGACCTTACCCTCTATCCACAAAGTGTCTGGGAGTCAGAAGGACAGGATGCAGAGCAGGGGGAGCACAGAGTCCCTGGTGAACCGAGAATGAGGGTGCTAAGTGGATCCCAAGGAGCAGCTACAGCACTGCACCCCTACCCCATTCACATCCGCACCTACCTGCCTTACTCACAGGTTTCTGCTCTCCCTTCCCTGGCTCCTGCTCTGTGTCCCCCGCCCCCTCAGAAGTCCCCAGGGCACCCAAGGAGACTGTTAGCCTACAGCTGGAGTCAGATAAAGAGAAAATGCCATTTCTCTGACTTGACCAGAAAAGTTCTGGTCTCACCGCCCTTAGGCCAGTTCAGAATTTCCTATCATTGGCGAGATGCCAGCAACAGTTTGGGGCTGTCAACACTTCCCAGCAGATTGGATAAGACAGTGCCACACACAGGCCAGCAGCAAGGTTTGCCTTTGGGAGTAAGAGAGAGAAGAGAGGGAAGATGCCAACATATCCCCTCCCCATCAAGTATTCTATTCTAAAAGAGGTTTTACAGAGAATTTCTTCTCGAGGACTTTTAATATCTCTTACACTAAGAACATTTTAAACTGGGAGCATATCTGACTGTGTACATACAGGGGTGGGGAAAAGCAGGTTACAGGTGTGAGTACATGAAACACAGAGCTTATTCTTGTATTATTATTTATTATTATAGTATGTATTTGTACTGCAGCTGTAAACCTACTTTTGCCCACCCCTGTATATCTAGGCCACCACAGAAAAGGTATGCTTTCAGCCATATTTGGACAGCTTGAAGTGTAGGGAAGGGTACTGAACACAGGAGGCGTCTGGGACACGTTTTAAGTCTGCTCATGGCCAGCCCCCTTTAGGTTTGGGATTTGGATTCTGCTTTTATAACTCTTTTAATGATAAGATCACAGCATGGTCGGCATGGCTCAGTGGTTGAGCATCAGCCTATGAACCAGGAGCTCACAGGTTCGATTCCCAGTTAGGGCACATGCCCAGGTTGCAGGCTCCATCCCCAGTAGGGAATGTGCAGGAGGCAGCCAACCAATGATTCTCTCTCATTGATGTCTGTGTCTCTCTCTCTCTCTCTCCCTCTCCCATCCTCTCTGAAATCAATTAAAAAATAAAATAAAATAAAAAAAATACCAGGATGGCCAAACCATCGCCAGACCAGACACCTCTTGTTTAAAAAATAAATAAATAAAAATAATAATAATAATAATAATGCTAATAAGATCACAGATGTGTGTCTTTGCTCCTGCAGGTCCCAGATGATGGTCTGAAGTGAAATGGGGTCTTAAATAAATGTGAATGGTTTAAAAACACACACACACACACACACACACACACACACACACACAAATTACATTGCATCAGATTATTTCACATGGCTTTTGTTCAAGTCAAGATTCTACAGTTCAATTAATATCACGGTTTTCATCCAGGTATTTGTCTGTTTCAAGTCATGAACAGTAACGTATCCTGTTGCTGGACTGCCCCCTCCCCACCCGCAGGAACCGGATCTGCCTCTGCACCAGCAGCTCTCACCCCTGGCTGCTCTGGGTTGGGGTGGGAACTAAAATTCCTCAGGGCAGGGCCACACCTCAGACCACTTTACACACGAGAAACTCTACAGGATGGGACCCAGACATCAGAACCACCAGGGTGAACCCGACACCAGCAGGTTGAGAACTGCTTTAACCCTCTCAGAGGTTGGTGTTTTAATGCCATCTTACCGTAGTAGTTCCAAACACGGGACTGGAGGCCCCCTGTCCACACTTCCCTTTCAAAGGTCCATAAGATCAAAAGTATTTCCACATTAACGTAAAAATGTCATCTGCCTTTTTCACTGGTGACATATGCAGTGATGATGGGAGCTGGTGCCTTAGCACAAATCAAGGCAGTTCCACCAAAATGCACAGGCACACCTCATCATCATGAAGTAAAATATTTTTTAAATTCTGTGTCAACGTTGCTTAAAGATGACCTGGTGAAGCAGAAAAAATAACTTCATCAAATCTCTACTTTGGAGTGTGTCTTTTTAAGATTGTGTGACAAGATGGGAAGCACTCATCAAATATTTCTGCTGCACACCACAGGGTGACGGTTGTCTTGAAAAGGGCCCTTGTGCAAATGTTTAAGTGAAGAGCTAAATTCACTGCTTCTTTTACTGGAACACAGTGGACAAAAAAGGGGTTCTATGGAAAGTAGCCACACAGGGTGATCTTATCATAAATTCC